AGGGGCTTGCGTGGCCCTAGCCCCTTGCCAGGGGGTTTCGGACAAAAGCATGGGGGAGCCCCTGGGTTCCTTTAACGGTAAAACCCTTCAGCAGCAGCAGCATTTTAGGGGGCAGGCACAGCCAAATCCATACCCCTCCAGCAACCAATTCCAGACCAGTGCCTAACCGCCAACTGAGCACTGAAGCTCACCGCCAAACCACTCACAAATGCAACCCTTCCTTCAAACCCAAAGCAACTGCAGCCAACCAGGTGTCGTTCCCTACAGGGGAAAGATGTATTCCATCTGCCCTAAAGAGGGCAACAGCCTTGAAGGAAATAGCAGGGTGCATGATCACAGAACCGCCTAAAGCGAGGACATTCTTTACCGCCACCTTGTTAACGCGCTTCCTGGCCTGCTCGGTGGCAGCCGGACTGCGACTGCTACGCCAGAAGTGGCGTTGCAGCAATTGCGACCAAATTATTTTTGCATCTGGCAACATAGCAGCCAGTTTCTCCAGGTCCTTCCGTACTGCATTACGCAAGGCACAGCAATCGGTGGCAGGCAAATCATTCTCCCCCAGCTGGAGCACAATAGCAGAAGGGGGCCCCATAAGACTCAACTGCTTTTCATAGAATCATAGAGTTGGAATAGACCACAAGGGCCATCGAGTCCAACCCCCTGCCAAGCAGGAAACACCATCAGAGCCCACCTATCCTGGACAAGAATCGACCAAATCTGGATATCTAGAGGACTGGCACCTAAGACTAAAAAAATAGAGATCTGCCCTAAAACTTGCTCCGACCATAATGCCTTGAAAATAGACTTGAGACTCACACCAGCTGGATCCTTCAGATGGAGAATGAATGACTCCTTGTTTAGAGATCAGGAGATTGTGAAGAAGGCCCAAAAAACGATGAAAGACTATTTTGAAATAAATTTGAACACTTCGGTGGAAAAGAAAACAATCTGGGACGCAAGTAAAGCTGTTATGAGAGGGTTCCTGATACAACAGAATACCATTAAGAAAAAACTCTGGAATGGTAAAAAGGACAAGATCTTGGAGAAGATAAGAGACGGAGAGAAAAGGTTGAGACTTAATCCAAAATCAAAAGAAGTTTTAAGAGAAATAAAATTCCATCAAGCACAATATGCGAAACTGATAAATCAAGAAGTTGAATGGAAAATTAAACAGATGAAACAAAGATCATTCGAATCGGCAAATAAATGTGGGAAGCTGCTATCATGGCAGCTGAAAAAGAGACAAAAATTGAACTTTGTTACCAATCTAGAGGTTGAAGGAGAATGTATTCAGAAACCAGAAGAAATTAGAAAATGTTTCCAGAGATACTTTAAAAAATTGTTTACTCAAGGACCCCAAGTGGAGACTGAGATAAATAAATTTTTAAAAAGCTATGGCCTGCAAAAACTAACACAAGATAAACAAACAGCCCTGAATTACAAAATAACACAACAGGAAATTGAAAGCGCCATTCAGAATATGCAATTAGGCAAATCCCCGGGCCCAGATGGACTTACCTCCAAATATTATAAGACACTGAAGGAATATTTGACCCAGCCACTGATGGAGGTATGTAACCAAATTATGGAAGGGAAAGGGGCACCGGAATCGTGGAAAGAGGCATTCATCACTTTGATACCGAAATTGGAATCTGAAAAGACTCAACTTAAGAACTACCGTCCCATCTCACTCCTAAACGTGGATTACAAGATTTTTGCTGATATTTTGGCAAATAGACTGAAAAAAGTTTTAAATGAAGTAATTCATAAAGACCAAGCAGGCTTTCTCCCTGGTAGGCATTTGTCTGACAACACTAGGAATATTATTGATGTCTTGGAATTACTACAGACAAATTTGAATACGAAAGCAGTTTTGATATTCATAGACGCGGAGAAGGCCTTTGATAACATATCTTGGAAATTTATGAAGAAAAATTTGGAAGGGATGGGAGTGGGAAGGGCGTTCCAAAATGGTATTGAAGCAATCTATTCAGAACAAAAAGCTAAATTGATAGTAAACAATGTGGTGACAGAGGAGTTCAAAATTGAAAAAGGAACACGACAGGGGTGCCCCTTATCACCCTTGCTATTTATTTCTGTCCTGGAGGTTTTGCTGAACTTGATTAGGAAGGACCAGCGGGTGGAAGGAATACAGGTCGGAGGAAAACAATATAAACTGAAGGCTTTTGCAGATGATTTGGTTTTGACATTACAGGAGCCAGAACCTAGTACAAAAAGAGCTTTAGAACTAATCTCTGAGTTTGGTCGGGTGGCGGGATTCAAGTTAAACAAACAAAAAACTAAGGTTCTGGTAAAAAACTTGACACCTTTAGAAATAGATGGGTTCCAGAAGGAAACAGAATTAAATGTGGTTAAAAAAGTGAAATACCTGGGGGTCAATTTGACTGGGAAAAATTTGAATTTGTTCAAAGATAATTATGAAAAATGTTGGTCTGAAATTAAAAAGGACTTAGAAATTTGGTCAAGACTGAAACTTTCCTTGTTGGGAAGAATTGCAGCAGTTAAGATGAATGTATTGCCAAGAATGTTGTTTCTGTTTCAGACCCTGCAGATCGTGGACAGAGTGGAGTGTTTTGGAAAGTGGCAGAGGGACATTATGAAGTTTGTCTGGCAGGGCAAAAAGCCCCGTATAAAATTTAAAATACTAACAGATGCAAAGGAAAGAGGGGGATTTGCCCTGCCGGACTTAAGGTTGTACTATGAAGCTGCATCCTTCTGCTGGATGAAAGATTGGTTTTTGTTAGAAAACACTGATGTCCTAGATCTGGAAGGGTTTAACAATGCTTTTGGGTGGCATGCATATTTGTGGTACGACAAGGTAAAGCTTCATAAGTTATTTAAAAACCATATTGTCAGGAAATCTTTGTTTAATGTCTGGACTAAATACAAGGACTTACTTGAAAACAAGACTCCGAGGTGGCTATCACCGATGGAGGCTAAGGCCACAAAAATACTTAATATGGGGGGTGGCTGGGCAAAATACTGTGAAATAATAGAAAGAGTGGGTGACACTTGGAGGTTGCAGAGCTTTGAAAAATTGAAAGGAAAGGTGCGAGACTGGTTTCATTACGCCCAAATTTTAGAGATTTTTAAAAAGGACAAAAAAATTGGTTTCCAGGTGGAAAAATCAAAATTAGAGTTAGAACTACTTGAACCTAAGACGAAAGTGCTTTCAAGAATGTATAACTTGTTGCTTAAATGGAATACTCAAGATGAGACAGTTAAATCAGCCATGATAAAATGGGCACAAGATATTGGGTACAACATTATGTTTGAAGACTGGGAAAGGTTATGGACCACCGGCATGAAATTTACGGCATGTAGTGCCTTAAAAGAAAATATTATGAAAATGATGTACAGGTGGTACATGACCCCAGTCAAACTTGCAAAGATATATCATTTGTCTGACAATAAATGTTGGAAATGTAAGGAGGCTGAAGGAACATTCTTTCACCTTTGGTGGACATGCCCGAGGGTGAAGGCTTTTTGGGAAATGATTTATAACGAGTTGAAAAAGGTATTTAAGTGTACCTTTCATAAGAAACCAGAGGCCTTCCTCCTGGGCATTGTAGGCCAGAGAGTGCCAAAGAAAGATAGAACTTTCTTTTTATATGCAACTACAGCAGCAAGAATCCTTATAGCCAAATACTGGAAGGCACAGGAGCTACCCACACTGGAAGAGTGGCACACACAACTGATGGACTACATGGAACTGGCTGAAATGACTGGCAGAATCCGAGACCTGGGAGAAGAGGCAGTGGAAGAGGATTGGAAAAAATTTAAGGACTATTTACAAAAACATTATAAGCTATATGAATGCTGAGAATTTGCTAAGTTTTGAGAAAAACATGCTTCAGTATTGAGATTCGGAAATGATTGAAACTAAGTTATGACCGAGAAAAGTTTAAATTCTAGAGTAAATAATTAGATGAAAACACAAAAACACATGAAACAAGGTATTAATTTGTTGTCTACTTTTATTGTAAAGAAAGCAGGGATGGAGGATGTGGGGAAGTCCAGTTGATGATGAAAAAAGATTTGGAAAAATGAATTTTCTTTTATTTAATTTCTTCTTTCTTTTTGTAAAACAGCTTTTGTTGTGTTATTGACGATGTATTCTGACCTTGGAAAATAAAGCAATAAAAATTTTTTTATTAAGGTAATGAAAAAAAAAAAAAGAGCACTCCTGACATATGGTTGTCAAGCCTCTGCTTAAAGACCTCCAAAGAAGGAGACTCCACCACACTCCTTGGCAGCAAATTCCACTGTCGAACAGCTCTTACTGTCAGGAAGTTCTTCCTAATGTTTAGGTGGAATCTTCTTTCTTGTAGTTTGGATCCAGTGCTCCGTGTCCGCTTCTCTGGAGCAGCAGCAGAAAACAACCTTTCTCCCTCCTCTATATGACATCCTTTTATATCTTTGAACATGGCTATCATATCACCCCTTAACCTCCTCTTCTCCAGGCTAAACATACCCAGCTCCCTTAGCCGTTCCTCATAAGGCATCGTTTCCAGGCCTTTGACCATTTTGGTTGCCCTCCTCTGGACACGTTCCAGTTTGTCAGTGTCCTTCTTGAACTGTGGTGGTCAGAACTGGACACAGTACTCCAGGTGAGGTATGACCAGAGCAGAATACAGTGGCACTATTACTTCCCTTGATCTAGATGCTATACTCCTATTGATGCAGCCCAGAATTGCATTGGCTTTTTTAGCTGCCACTCACACTGTTGGCTCATGTCAAGTTTGTGGTCAACCAAGACTCCTAGATCCTTTTCACATGTACTGCTCTCAAGCCAGGTGTCCCCCATCTTGTATTTGTGCCTCTCATTTTTTTTGCCCAAGTGCAATACTTTAATTTCTCCCTGTTCAAGTTCATCTTGTTTGTTTTGGCCCAGTTCTCTAATCTGTCGAGGTCGTTTTGAAGTGTGATCCTGTCCTCTGGGGTGTTAGCCACCCCTCCCAGTTTGGTGTCATCTGCAAATTTGATCAGGATGCTCTTGAGTCCATCAACCAAGTCGTTGATAAAGATGTTGAATAAGACCGGGCCCAAGACAGAACCCTGTGGCACCCCACAGGGGTGTATCATTGGAAGCAATTTGGCCCACAGCATTCCTCGTCTGGACAGCCAAGACACCTGCACATGATGGGGAAGGCCAAGTGCTGCTCCAAGTCCAGACTCCCGAGCTCTGATGCCGGCCCAGTGGACAATGCTTTGGCCTACAATCCAAACCCGAACTGCTGCTATACCTAAGAAGCGAAAACAGACACATATCAGCACAAACCATTCAACGCCCCCTTCACACATAACCTCTGTATGCATTGGAACTCCATCGACCCAAATTCTTAATTCTCTCAGCTGACAGTCCCCAGTGAGCAGCTGTGGTGGCAGTCCCTATGCGGAAAGAGTGCGGCGCATATTCAGCAGCCGGATGGCCACATGCAGCAATAACCTTTCGCATTACTCTAGTAAACTGATGCCTGGCCAAAGGAAGACCATTCTCATGAACTAGGAACGGCCCCTCCCCTTGGGGTCTGAGGGACAAGTATCTGGAGGTGTCCTTCACCGGGCAAGGGCCTGGGTTCCCTGTAGCAGGTAACCTCACAGTGGCACCTTGGTCTAACTGGTCTGTCTTAGAACTCCTGACTGACAAGACCACTTCTGAGGAGGATAAGGAGACATCCTGCAACAGCAACCCTCTGGACGTTCCTCCCCGACCTTCCTCAAGCACCACCTCACAAACCCTCAAGGCACCAAAGAAAGCCATGAAAAAGGTGGTGGGGAAAAGCCTGGCCTCATACTTGTTCCAGCAAACTGCTCTCAGTTTTACCCACATCTTAGTTAGCAAATCAAAGGAAATGGGCCTCCTTCCTTGTGAGCGCGAGGGGCAGAGCCTGCCCCAGCCCTCCAAAGCCTTGCGCACCACAAACTTGGCACAAGGATCCTTATTAAAAAAGGCTTTACAGAAGAAGGAAATCCCGGCAGCCTGGATCCGGAGTGTCCTCATAGCCCGCCCCAATTGAAAAAGGTGCGCCAAATACTGGAGGACCTGTGAAGAAACCAGAGATGAGCTAAGCTGGATGGACATGGACTGATAAGAGAAAGTTAAAAATTCAGTCCACGCCTTCCTGTAGGAAAGTAAAGTAGAAGGTGAAACGGATGCGGCTACTCCCTGCAAGACTAATTGCTGCCAAGGTTCCAGAGATGATCTGGGAAATATTTCGGACATAGCTGCGCCTCTGGAGCCAGGGACCTGAACCACTCCATCTGAAAACGGGATAGAGCATCAGCGATTTTGTTAGAAATCCCAGGAATAAAACGGGCCGAAAACACGATATTGAAATGCAGACAATGTAAAACGAAATCCCTAAGCAGAGCTGACACCCTAGGGGAGTGGGACGACAACTTTGCTAATATATTCACCACCACCTGATTGTCAGTCCAGAAACAGACACGATGGTCCTTGAACTCCTGTACCCACAAATGGACCGCTACTGCTATAGGAAAAAACTCAAGAAAAGTTAAATCCCGCGTAACAGCCTCACCTTGCCATGCTGATGGCCAAGGCAAGGCACACCATCGACCCTTCCAGTAAAGTCCAAAGCCTAAAGAGTCCAGTGCATCGGACTGAACTTGAAAGTCATTATGCAGGTTCAAAGTGTCCTGCCACAATGACACCCCATTGAAACCATTTAAGAAATCCAACCACATCCGCAGATCTGCCCTCACTTCGCTGGAAAGGTGAACCGGATGATGTGGAGCCCGCAGGTCTGCCGTAAGCCTGGCCAATCTGGTGCAAAAGGGGCGACCTGGAGCCACTACTCAAGTTGCCTCAAGGGACTCAAGTTGCCTCAAGGTCACCTTGGCCAGTGGTAGCATATCCTCAATGACCTTTATTTCCCCCCCAGGCACTTGTGGGGCCGGCGGCGGGGAGAAGCGCTCTTCTCCCCGCCGCCAGCCTTCAGACCAGGTCCGGGGACAGCGGGAAGACGTGCTGCACCTCCCCACTGTCCCCGGAGCTTGTGGGGCGGCAGTGGGGAGAAGCGCTCTTCTCCCCACCACCCGCCTTCAGACCAGGTCCGGGGACAGCGGGAAGACGCGCTGCGCCTCCCCGCTGTCCCCGGAGCTTGCGGGGCTGGTGGCGGAGAGAAGCACGCGTCTCCCCGCCGTCAGCCTCCAAACCACATTGGGAGACAGCGGGATGGTGGCGTTCCGCCTCCCCGCTGTCCCCCGACCTTGTGGGGCTGGCGCTGGGGCTCTCCTGAAGCCTGGAGAGCGAGAGGGGTTGGTGCGCACCGACCGCTCTCGCTCTCCAGGCTTCAGCGAAAGCCTGCATTCGCCCCATAGGATGCACACACATTTCCCCTTCATTTTTGGAGGGGGGAAAGTGCGCCCTATAGGGTGAAAAATACAGTATGTATCAAACAAAACTCCCCTGGGGCCTTCTTAGGAACAATCCCCAGGGGTGAAAGGTGAAACCTGTCAAACGGGGGGAGGGCCATAAAAGGCCCCGCCATAAAAGGCCCCGTAAAGCCACCTCCTTTTCAATTTTCTTTCGGGCCACTAGCGGCCTTTCCCTAACAGATTTCTGGTTGTCAGAATTCCCTGCCACGGGGAACGTGGCTACCGGAATTCTAAAACCATGCGTAAAACCCTCACGAAGATATGAAGCTGCCTCCTGGTTGGGGTAAAGAAGGAGCCAAGCCGAAAGCTCTGCGAGCCAGACTGTCATATAAGCCAGGGCTAAATCTCCCTCATTTGGAGGGTCCTGGAGTTGCCTGGGGGGGCAAGTCTACTGACTTGTTGACCGCCCCCCTTCCCCCCCGAAAGGGCCGCCTCCCTGAAAAGCAAGTGGAAATGGGAAGATTTCCTCCACACTTGTCGCAAACACGCGGGTATTTGCAAGGTTGGCACTGGCAGTAGACCTTATTAAATTCCCAGCAAACCAGGCGTCTTTTAAAGGCGCCAGTTTTTGGTTTCTGTGGCTCAACGGGTTTTTTCTCGAAATGCAAAGCTACATACGTCGTCCAAACATCCAAATCCCTAAGATCCCAACGGGCAGTGGGGATTTTGGCTGCCCTACGCCTAAAGTTTTCATCGTAAGAAATTGTGGCACTTTCGCCAGCCATTGTAAAGGCCGCCCTAACAATGGACTGATAAATTATGAGATGACAGAGGACTAAAAATCCCGAAAAAACTTGAAAACAATCAAGCCAACGCTCAAATGTCTTCTCTACTTTGCTAGTTCCAGTCTGCTTTTTTGCGCCCGGAGCCACCTTCTCTTGCCCAGGAGAGGGCAGTGGTGGAGGAGCCAGCTTAAAAATGTCGACATAGCGACCATTAAGAATTCGGGTGTGCAACTTTGAAGAAAGATGACTCCCCGGGATGATGTCCTTTTCCGAATTGGTGGCGACTTTAACGTCAGGCACCAAAGCACCATCCAGACACTCCTGCGTAGCACCATACCTAAGTTGATGTGAATTGGCTCTGCGATCCCAAGCCCAGCGAAGGCCAGTCGATTCACCGTAAGCCCAGTAGAGGCCCATAGCTACCTCCCCCTCTTCGTCAGAGCTTTGGGAGGACGTACCTGTGGAGGAAGAGGACGTATCACGCCTGCTCCTCTTGGCCTTCTTCCTGGAATGCTTCTTGCGATGTTTACCACCGGAAGATGTCCTTGGAGGCACAGGTAGGTTGTCCTCAGTAGAAGACTCCGAAGCCGGACCCTGGCGGGAGGTACCTGGGAGAGACTGAAGAGAAACCACTGGTGAAGGAGCTGCAGCAATGGAAGGGCCTGCTAAAGACCGTGCAGTATCCCTACCTGCCGAAGAGGCACCAGCATGCCCCTGCCACCTGCGAAGCCTTTGGGTCGATGCGCCCCTTTGACGTGTACAACCATGAGAGGCAATAGGGGTTGAGACCCCGACCAATTGGGGATCAGAGAATAAAACCCCTGAAACCTGAAAATCCTCTGAGTCATCACTAGAGGATGAAGAGACTGGACCCGGCTGGGCAGTCAGTGTAGAAGGCCCGGCCTGTGCACTGGGCTGAGAGGCAAAGCACTGAATGAGGCCATCCATCTCAGATGCGAAGTGGGAAAATGCCTCTGGATTGCCCGACAAACTTGCCACTAGAGACTCGATACGGCCCCCCACCTGACTAAGTGCAGGAGAGCGCAGTGATTGTGAAGGGCCACAAATTCTCCTTTTTCCCAAAGTAGGCGACGCCTGCTGGGGCTGGGCCTTCTTTGGAGCCATGGCAACTGCAAGTATACAAGCAGAGAAAGTTAACACCTGAAGATAAAAGCCCAAGTGCTAAAGACGAGTGTAGAAAGAAAATAAAATAAAAATTAACAATAACATTACACCAAAACAAAATATAAAATAGATAAATAAAATTAAAATTTAAAATATCAAATAAAAAATGAAAATTACAATAGATAAAGAAACTAGGGTAAGTAAATAAATAAATAAACTAAAATACGCTTAAAATAAAATACAGCTAAGAAATATTAGCCGACATCCTCAGCCTAAAATGTGAATGCCCAATGGATGGCCCAATGGATGGCTCAAGCCAACAAGCAAAGATTGGCTGCAATAACAAGAAAAACCAGAAGAGGCACCAGGCTATTCTGGTTTTTCTTGTTATTGCAGCCAATCTTTGCTTGTTGTTATATATATAGTAATAACACTATTGGCCAGCAGAACCAGAGCCCCACAGCAGTACCAGAGCCCTACCAAGTGAGAGCCCACAGTAGAACCAGATCCTTACCGAGCCAGAGCCCCACAGCTGAACCAGAGCCCTACAGACTGAGCCACAGATTGGGCTGATATACCAATCATGGCCACTAGAGGCCCCTCCAGTGCAGCCTGACTCAGAAGGCCTGGAAAAAGGCCGCGCTGCTCCCGCCCGGGCCCTGCAATCAGGCTGGGGCAAGGAAGGCTGCAGCGCCCGCGCGCTGGCAGCAAGGAAGGGGATATGGGGGCCACGCAGCCTCCAAGCTAGTGGGGAAGCCGCTCTGCCTCCGCGCCGCCAATAGCAGCGTGAAAAACGGCAAATTCACTTTTATTTTACTTTTGTTTATTTTATTTTACTTTTTAAACCGAACGGGGGGGGCGTGAGGAGCTGAAAAGTGGGCCCCCCAACCACCCCCAGACCAGGGACAAAACTCTGCGGAACCACCAGGAAAAGAGAAGTCCCCAATAAAATTAAAGGCTCAATATAATTAAAGCTCAATAAAAGTAAAGGAATTAAGTGGGGACGGGGGTGAAGGGAGGGAACAAAATTAAGAAAGGGATTGGGTGAGGGAAATTGGGGTTAATAGGAGACAACAATTAAGGAGAGAGGAAAAAGGGCGGGAAACAAGGAATTATCTAAATAAAAAGGAATAGCAAGCTCTGTAAACTGAGCTAAGCAATACAACCGTCTCCTTTCACTGATGTGTGTTCTGATCCGAAGCACACAGCGAAAGAGGACGTCTGTTGCTGCCTGTCTTGTATTTAACAAATAGGGCTGTCATTCACTAAATGGCAACATCTAAATTTCCCCAGTAACAGCCCGCCCCTGCTTACGAGTTGGCCAAACTATCTGCCCAGAAACAGCAAGGTGTCTTAGCATCCCCAACCGCAACACGTGCTCTCCGTGATGGAGAACACGCCTTCTACAACAAAATACACAAGCAACTGGGTGTGTTTTTCTGAGCGCTGTAGATAATTAATCTCATTTTCCCTGTGCTTCAGTTTGTGTTCTGTTAGTTTTCTTATTCAAACTTTTGACTCACAAATCTAATTTGAAGCCTCTTTAACTGACCTATGTGGTAATGTGTTTCATCTGCATGTGAAGTTTAGCAGTGAGCAATAAGGCCAGCATACTAATTTGCTCCTTGGTGGATGCAATTTTTGGTGTACAAACATCACCTGTGCTCAACACTTCTGCACTACAGAAAGTGCCCAACCCACTCCCCCCAAAAAAACTCCAGAAGAGATGGATGTCTTAAAAGGCAGATAGGAGAGTGACGTGTGAGGGAGGCGGCAGTGATAAACAGGGCCTGTTAGAATAGCCCTGGTCTAGATGGTGCCACAGAGGGAAACCTGAGTATGGACTGCACCATTACAGTAGGCAGGGCAAAACTGACAGGGTTATACCTCTGGTCTCTCACAAACAGGAGGACAGCTGCTTTCTTTGGAACAACAGTTAAGGATGCCATGTCAGGAAGCAAGGGAACCCAGTAAGGCTGCCCAATGATTTGTGAAAGGATAGAAAGGGCTTCACCAAAACCCCACAAAACAACTGGCAAAGCTCATCCATGAGAATTTCCCTCCTTTTTGATGATTTTAAATGTCATTTATTTTCTCATTAACTGATAGAGAATTGTGAACCGCCCTGAGACCTTCAGGTATAGGGCAGTATACAAAGTAAATAAGTAAAAATAATAATTGGGGGGGGGGGTAGAAAATTTTGGAACAGCATCAGTACAGGATTAAACTGAATGTTGTGTATGATGCAAGCAGTAGTCCATTAAGTGCCAGGTATGAAGGGGGCTTTACTCCTCAGATAGATTGGGAAGGGAATGGTGGGCTTCTTAAAGCTGTAATGGAGACTTTATTAGAGCGCATGCGAGATATACAACCGCTGAGAGGATGATTTCTTATTCCTGCAACACAACAAATGAACATCTGAATCAGACCAGTTCTGCAAAGCTGCCTGTTTAGTTTTGCAGTATGAACACAGTATATATCCAGGAAGAAGAGCAGGGAAAGAAAGGAAAACGGCAGGGAATACAAGATGTCGGAATCCTGGCAGCACCTGCAGTTATTAATATATTATTTTGAATGAAATGTCATTACTATTTTATTTAAAATTAATGCAATTCACCAGACCATAAAGAAGGTCCTTTAGAATAAATGGCGGCTTTCCAAGCACAGCTACTGGGCTGCTGATTACAATGGATTCTGACATTTTTGACAGTTTTATAATTCTCATATTCTGTTCGTAGCTATGCTCTGAAGTGTGTCTGCTTTGCTGAATTCTTCCTCCTGGGGCATGGCGCTAAAGTTTGGTGAACTGAAAGGACAATAAAGCAGTTTGATAGGCAAAAACAGAAAATTACTGTGCTATACAAAGTTGCTTGTTTGATGACTCCAGGAAAATTAGCATCCACAGTTTTAAAAACAATTGTCACTTAAAAAAAAACCCACACCTTTAAATGAGCAGTTAGCTATAAAAGACACCCATTGGTTCAAAAAGGTGAGGTCACCATCTCACAACAATGCATGGAGCTGGTCAGGAAATGATCATGGAAGCCATTTTTGAGGGGGTTTGTTGTCGTTTTTTCCCCATCTGAATAGGAAAGTAAATAATGAACTGCCCATCTGTTATGTACTGAATTGAATAGGATCCAAACAGCAGCAGTCTGATTGGTCTTAGAACAATGCAGCAGTATGATTGGTTGGCAGGAACCACCCAATCATGCTCCAGATAGAAGTGAATCCACAATCTGATTGGCTTACAGTAGAATTCCAGAATTAGCCAATCATGTGCAGCCCATTGTGTAAATAATGTATATAAAGCAGACCCCTCAGACATTCATCCATTCCTCCTCACCACTATGAGCTGAATAAAGAGCATGAAATCACTTTGCGACTCTGAGCATATTTCACTGGCGACGAGGGTGGGATCCCGCTGAGCTGACGGCCACACACAGCACCGCAGCACCGCCACCTGCCGCACCGCTGCCTCGCACCGTGTATCCAGGCTTCAGCTCCGGGACACAAGGAACTCAGAATGGCAACCGACAGCAGCTTCTCGCCGTTCAACCCAGCATCTGGAGACTGGGAAGCGTACGCCTCCCGTTTCACCTTCCTCCTAGAAGCCAAAGGGGTCACCGATGCAGAAGACGCCAAGAAGAGGGCAATATTCTTCAGTGTCTGCGGAGAGGAGACGTTTGAAATCGCCCGGGCTCTCCTTGCACCTGAAGACGTCGCTACTGTTCCATACAAAACAATAATGGAACAGCTGAAGGGGCACTTTTCGCCACAGCCCTCAGTGGTGGCTTGTCAAAATGCCTTCTACGCAAAGCGGCAAGCCCCTGGGGAAACCATAACTGGGTTTGTGACCTCTCTCCGCCAAGCTGCCCGGTTCTGCAACTTCTCAGAGCTGGAGAACATGCTTCGTGACCGCCTCGTCGGTGGCCTGAAGGATGAGAAGCTGCAACGACGCCTCTACGCTAAGAAGAACCTAACGTTCCAGGTCGCTCTGGAGGAGGCCCTGGCAACGGAAGCTGCCGAGAGGTCAACGCAAGAGGCACGGCCGAGCCAGCCGTCCCAACCAAGGGTCCACCACGAAGACCTCACCGACGACTCAGGATCCGACAGGGAGGAGGTGCACAGAGTACAGCAGCGCACTCAAGCAGCCCACATACCACAGCTGCCTCGACGAGAAGGAGGGAACTGCGCAAGCTGTGGAGAAAGTCACGAGAGGAGGACCTGCCGTTTCCGCAACGCAGAGTGCAGGCAGTGCAGAAAATTGGGACACATCGCCCGGGTGTGTCGGGCTCGGCCCACCCGACGCCAGGCATCAGATGACCAATCCAAGAGCCCCAGGTCCCGGGGCCCAACGCACCAAGGCAACTCAACGGAGCTCACGGACTTCCAGGTATACCAGTTGCCCCACCCCAACGTAGAGAAAATTTATGTAGAGGTACAGATAGAGGGGGCCCCATGCCGCATGGAGCTTGACACGGGTTCAACTCTATCCATAATCTCGGCAAGGACCTTAAGGAAACTGTGTCCTACTGGGGGTCCCAAACTCAGGCCAGCCCCATTCACCCTCCGGGACTTCCAGAAACGTAAGGTCCCCACAATGGGGGTGGGGACCTTCAGGGTGCAATACCGAGGGCGGACGCGGCAACTGGACTTGCTTGTGGTCAAGGGCCCCTACATTAGCTTACTGGGATTGGCATGGTTTGGACCACTGGGGCTAGCCATCACCGGGGTGAACCACATGAGCTTACAAGTGGACGTGGACGCCATATGCAAGGAATTTCCGGGGGTTTTCGATGGGAAATTGGGACAGTATACGGGGCCCCCCATTGCTCTACAGCTTGACCCCGCAGTACGACCGGTCAGGCTCAAGGCCCGCCGGGTCCCGTTCGCCCTGAAACCCCGTATAGATGAGGAATTGGACCGACTCGTGGAGCAAGGAGTGCTGGAGCCGGTGCCTAATGCCCCCTGGGAAACCCCAATCGTCACACCCGTCAAGCCTAATGGTTCGGTCCGCATCTGCGCAGACTACAAATGTACCATAAACAAGGCCCTCACGGCCCATGCATACCCAGTGCCAGTGGTCAGCCATGTCCTTGCCACCCTGGCTGGGTCGAAAATTTTTGGCAAGCTGGACTTGGCCCAAGCATATCAACAGCTGCCAGTAGATGAGGCTACAGCAGAGGCACAGACGATTGTGACGCACAGAGGAGCGTTCAGGGTAAAGCGGCTGCAATTCGGGGTCAGCGTGGCACCAGGCATATTCCAGAATCTAATGGACTCTCTCCTTAAAGGGATTCCTGGTGTCACCCCCTTCTTCGATGATGTGTTGATTGCCGGGCCCACACCAGAGGAGTTTGAGGACCGCCTCCGCACCGTTCTGCACCGTTTCCAGACGGCGGGTCTCAAGGTGAAGCGGGAGAAATGTCTACTAGGAGTGCCTCAGGTGGACTTTCTGGGATTTATGGTGGACGCAGAAGGGGTCCACCCGACTGGGGACAAGGTACGGGCCATTTGTGATGCCCCAGCACCCAAGAACAAGACTGAACTTCAGGCCTTCTTGGGACTATTGAACTTTTACCATTCCTTCCTTCCCCACAAGGCGGCGGTAGCGGAGCCCCTACACAGACTCCTGGACAAGCGGGCCCCTTGGGTGTGGGGCCAGCGTCAGGAGGCCGCATTCCAGGCAGTCAAGGACTTGCTTGTCTCAAACTCGGTCTTGGCACACTTCGACGAGAGGCTGCTGGTGGTGCTAGCATGCGACGCCTCACCCTATGGCATTGGCGCTGTCCTGGGACACCAACTCCCGGATGGAAGAGAGGTACCGGTGGCATACTTTTCCCAGACACTCAACGAAACCGAGCGGAACTACTCGCAAATCGACAAGGAGGGTCTGGCAATCGTGAAGGGAGTAAAAAAATTCCATGATTTCTTGTACGGGCGGCCCTTCACCGTGGTGACTGACCACAAGCCGTTGCTTGGCTTGTTTGCCCCCGAAAAGCAGACCCCCCAAGTGCTGTCTCCTCGCGTCCTCAGGTGGTCAATTTTCCTTGCCAGCTACCAGTATGCACTGATTCACCGCCCTGGGAAGGCGATGGGCCATGCGGACGCCCTCAGCAGGCTACCACTACCGGAAACAGGCCCCGACCCAGCACCTGCACAAGAGGTTATGAGCCTGGAGCTGCTTCCCGACCGCCCCATTCAGGCACAAG